GCTCCGACGAAGAGTCGAGTGAACCCAACAAACGTGTGGTGGACACGCAGGATCGTGCACAACGGAACAGTGAAGGGTCGCAGACGGAGAAAACCCGCGGCCATGAGGAGGAGTGAGAAGTACTCACTCTGAAATCGGACGGGCAGAACACAAGTGGGTGAGGCAGACGCACGAGGTGTCGTCCTTGCTTGTGGCATCCGATAGAGGAGTGAGTGCAAAAGTAAGTGACGAACAAAGAACGAAGGCGGACGGAGTCGACAGAGAAGCGACCCCCGGCAGAACTATACGTTTACGAAGAAAACTGACGGAGGGCCGAAGTGGCGATATTGAAGGTCGTTGCTAAGGTTAAGTACGCGGATCTGGACATTGCGGACGCATCCGACGAACTGTAGTGGACGCACTACGAAACAGAGGAACACGAAAAACGAAGAACGAAGAACGAAGTACAAAGACGAACACTTCTTTAGTTAGCGTCTAGGCTAGCTAAGAGAAGAGACTAGTAAATAAAAAGTAGGGACGGCGACGTTCCGGCACAGGGATCAGCTTGAACCCTGTTGGCCAGTAGTGTGTTGAAGTACGGTGACTCGACGAACCCGGGACACTCGCAGGAGGCACACACGCGAGTACGATCTGCTCCACGAACCGGGCAAGATAAGAGGATTCGTTACAATTCGGAGCTTGACATTTTAGTCGTGCATATGGCGGCGCCATTTGGTTGGTCTGGGTCTCCACCATGCTATGCTCTCTTTGGTCAAGCGAAATCGTGGCTCATGCGTACATATTCATCAGCTTCCGTGTCCAATTGAAACGACACCGATCCATTCTTTTCATACGAATAATGACCACATACTTGTTGAACAGGACGTTAACAGCAGACTACCGTTTGCTGAAGCCACAGTGCGGTACGCCATGTTGGCGCCTCTTGATCCCCGATCTACAATTTATAGACTATAAATGAGAGGAAATTCTCTAGCTGGGGCATCTGGGCGCTCTAGAACTACGATTGTGGCGCGAACAGTTTCCATTCCAACCGAGAAAATCGACAAAGCG